AAAAAAAAAAAAAAAAGATGAGAAAAGAAAAGGAAAAGACAAGTGACAGACTGAGAAAAAATATCAATGAAACCAGACAGCTATAAATTGTTAAGTGTTGAAGCAGGCTGATGGGCATATGCATATTCATTATTCTCCTTTCTTTATTATTAGCTTAAATTGTTCTAAAAAATAAAAATAAAATAACTCTTTAAAAAGTCCATTTTCAGACAAAGTACAGGAATAATACAGAAGCTAAATATTAAACCCAGATTTTTTTAAAATACTACATACTCAAAATTTGATCTTTTAGCTCCACAATGAATGTCCTATGAAGGCATTCAGTTGAAAATTGGTGAATGTCACTGTTTGCGTAATAGTTTGGCAATACTTTTTGTTTGTTTTTAATGTAACTTTCTCAATAAATCTCTAAATTACAGTTTTCTGAAAAACTTGAATCATCCCTCACCCCCCACAGAGCCAGCAGAATACTGAGAAGAAGAACTACATTAGGAAATTTAATATCCACGCATTCATTCTGTTTCACTCTCCAGCATGAGTGCTCGATCAACTCCGAAATTAACTTTCCAAAAAGAGCCTTAGACAAGGTGCTTTAAAAGAGACGGGCAATTAGTGAATGCCATTAGGACACTGAGGCTGTGGAAGATGGAGGTACCTGAGCATTGCCAAGCAGGGGCAGAGAGGAGTCAGCTCTTCCACAAACTTTCTATCAGTCTAGCACAGCATCTTAGATTTCCCTATTTGTGGGACCTCAAAGCCAAACACCATGAATGGTGAAGGTCTCCTTTGCTCAAATTCTGTGAAGCAGTAGTTGCGGGGAAAGCATCTTTAGGTGCTGGAGAAAGTTGCTGCAAGGAACAGTCTTCAGGATAAATCATTTCTCAACTCCTGTCCCTAAAGTCACCCAACCATTCTACTATACTGAGGTTCTATGTCCATTCAAACAGTCATCAAGTTCAAATAGTTTATATTTTTAAATCATACTATGTAGTAAACTTGCATTTTCATTGAATGTCTTTCTACTTTCACACTGAACCTTTTTTTTTTTTCTTTTTAATCTTAACATTCTGGCTATCCTGTCCGTACTCCTTGGCACATCAGCCACAGACATCATGACCACAGACCTAGTTATGTGACTACAGTTACTTACTATACCTTCTGTCCTGCAATCACAACACGATCCCCCAACTTAAGGCCAAGTGATGTCAGCATTGCCTTGCTGGTAACATGATCGTAATTTGGCAGCATCGCCTTTGAGATATCACATGACAGAGGCACTGCATCTAATAGAATCTGCTTGATTTCTTTGGCAGTTGCCGCTGCATCTGCCATTTCTAATGGCATATCTACTGGGTCCGGAACAACATCAGCAGGGATCTGTCCTTTGTCATTCTTTAAAAAAAAAAAAAAAAAATTCAATTCATATTTATACAGGTCTCTGTGCAGTCCAAGAAATTTTTGGAGAAATTTTAAGTTAAATGCATTCATCATTTATGTATCCAAAAATATTTACTGCACTAAATTGTTTATGTGAAAATGGTTGAAATGTTTTTGTCATATACACACATATTGAACTAGTAAAGCAAAATGTAATGAGTACCTACTAAATGCCATCACAGTTCTAAGGTACTAGAGATACCATTAAGGAAAACAAAAAGCCATGTCCTTATAGAGCATATATTCTGGTGCAAGAGACATTAGAAGCTGGGGGCTGGTTGGTGGGGTATAGAAAGAAAAGGGGCAAAGAACTGAGGAGGAAAAGGGAAACAGGAAAGAGGAGTTGGGGCTGGGGTTGTGACAGAGAGGAAAGTGAGGGGGCAGAGGAAGCCTTTACCAACATTATCCGCTTCTCTGTCCACCCAACCTCTTCATGGGAAGGCACAGGCCCTATTAGGAATCTCTGCCAGGGCGAGTCACTGCTATCAATGTAATGACAATAAAATGCCTAAGTATTTAATAAGTATGAAATACACTCCTGGGTGTTAGCTTCACACATTCATGGCATAATTACAGTGGAAAAAAAATGTTCCTTTAAACGTTTAACTTTTTTAAGTAAAACTTCCATTCTCCAGTGTACATGTTGTAACATTCTGAATAGATTTTCTTTCTCAAACTACCTAAAGTATGATTTCATAGAAAAACATAATGTGCACATGGACATATTAACAGCTATCCTTTCTTAATTACATCTAAAATCCAAATGAAAGACATGTAAACTCAAAAGATTATGGCAATTTAAGAAGCAATTTAAGTTACTTTCCTGAACGGAAGTTAAATTTTTTATCAGTATGATGCTGTTGTTGTTAAGTGCCACTGAGTCAGTTCTGACGCACAGAGACACTGTGTTGGGTTTCTGAGAACAGCTAGTGGATTTGCGCTGCTGACCTTGCAGTTAGCAGTCCATTGCTTATTACAGTGCGGCATCATGACTCCTTTATATTAGTATAAGAGGACTGAAATTCATTGCTGCACTTAAACTTATTTCAGATAGAGTTTATTATCATTACTACTTATACATGACATAAAAATTTAAATTATGTGCTCATCAAAGAGCTCTGTTATAACAACTCTTGACTACGAGGTACTGTAAGATTTAACTCCTCATTCTTTCTCACTTTCAGTTCAATCTCTTACCCTGAATGCGGGATTGGCTCCATGCTCCAGTAAGCATTTCACAGCACCTATACACAAGTTATATGCCGCAATGTGCAGAGCTGTTCCAAAGTGAAAGTCACTGCAAGTGGCATCCACATCTGCAATTAAACGTCACAAGAATGTTAACTATAAATTTAAAGTTAGCTGTTATAATACAAAAGGAAGCAGATTTTTAGGGGGAGAGGCATTTTGTTTTTTTAACCATTTATAAGACTTAAACCAACCCCCTCAAAGCACCATTTAATAATAAAACAATATCCCTGTATCATAATCAAGTTAACTGACAGTTTTTTTAAAGAATAGAATTTCATTATAAAATGGACTGACAGCATCATGAGTTTTCCAACTATTAAGCTAAAACTATACCATATTTAAGAACAATAATGGCAGTAATTCTTATTTGTAAAACTGCAATCACTCATTAAAGCTTTTCCAATATTCACTATGACAACTGTGTGAGGTTGTCAGGTCTAAGTCAGAGATTAGCAAGGGTCAAATCCACCGTCTTTTTTTTTTTTTTACAGGCTTTTACTGAAATATACCCACATCCACCCATGTACATAGTTTCTATGGCTACTTTCATGTTACAACAGTGGATTAGTCCCACAAACCTTAAAATACTATCTGGCCTTTACAGACAAGTCTGCCAACCCTGGTAAGTAAAATTTATACAGATTTTTCAAACCAAGAATCAGCTGCAGATGTATTAGCATAGGAATGTTTACCTATAATATTGAATGCAAGGTGTTGTGGGTTAATGCGCTGGACTGAAAGGTCGATTTGAACTGACTCGAGAGTACTTAACAACAACCTATAATATTGATTTATAACACTCCTATCTTTTACAAATAGGAAAGTACTTTATACTGCCTTAAAGTATTGCACTTCCTCATTTTTTTTTTCCTCAAAACACAACTGGGAGAACAAACAAGATGGCAGAGAGGGCAGAAGTATAATGAAGAGCTCTGTCAGCAACAACACAGAATACCGAACCAAGCAGGCTTAGGGTATGGTTCCAGAACTCTGAACCAAATATAAACAAATATTTAAAAAGCTGAAAGCTTACAGTCATTGGGATTTGGAACAAAAGCAAGAAATCCAGGGCTTTCTAATCCAAGGTGCTCAGCTGCTCCCTGAGCGGCCATCTTGGATGAGATCGAGCAGGGGAATGATAAGAGCAGCCAAGAACGCCTGACAGAATCACAGATATAAAAGGTGTGGACATTCTTTTTTTTCTTTATCTGTTTATTGGCCTCTTGCTGTCTGCACACCTCCATTCTGGTGACCAGAGAGGGTGCCTGAGAGAGTGGACATCCCTCCCCAACCCCCAGAGGGTTCTACTATGCATACACACAGATCTCCTCAAACTTTAAAGACACAGTTTCCACTTAAAACCAAACGGCAGTGCAAAATGGCCACAGCCAGCCCTGAATCATTTACCACTAGGAAAAAGGCCTTAAAGGGGATTGTGGAGCGGGACAGGTAGACTAAAAAGGAAATAGGCCAAAAATTAAATCCTGAGTTACATCACAATGCCCAACAGTGGCATCTTGAAATTTCTCAGGAAGAAGAGTGAAAAGGGAAGCACATCTCCTGATCACATCTACCTGGAGGCATTAATAATATCAAAACACACCTATCTAAGTATTAAGGCCACAGATAACCCTTGAATATGCCCAAAAAACAGAAGCAGACGACCATATCAGCACATGTCCAGAAACGAGATAAAGTGACTGAGGCAAATGAGATGGAAGTAGACCTACACTCCATACTGGAAGATGGGCAGGCTCTGGAAATGCCTGAGAAGGAATTCAGAAAAATGATTATTAAATGTATCAAAACTTTACAATGCAGTTGAGAAAAATAAGAAAGAAGTCAGGAAAGTACTACAGGAACAATCAAATAAGATAGATACAGCATTGGAAACAATTCAAAACCTACAGAACAAGGCCCAAATGATAAATAGAATATCAGAAACAGACAAATACACTGAAAGGGCAAAGGAGTACAACTGAAGAGATGGAAGCCAGAACTAGTAAGCTGGAAGATAAATCTCTCAATACTTAAGATAGACAAAGAAGCAGAAAAAAGGATAAAAATATCTGAAGAAGGCATAAGATTCATGTTGGACAACATGAAGAGGAATAACTTAAGAATTATTGGCATTCCAGAACAGGAAGAATCACACAAATTCACAGAGGAGGTAGTTGAAGGGCTGCTGGAAGAAAATTATCCTAACATCCTGAAAAGGGACAGTTAAGCATTCAAGAAGCTCAACGAACCCCAGGAAGAAAATCACCAAGTCATAATAATCAAGTGCACCAAAATCAAAGATAAGGACAGAATCCTAAAAGCAGCTAGGGAAAAGAGAAGTGTTACATACACAGGCAAGCAAATCAGATTAAGCTCAGATCTCTCAACAGAAACCATGAAGGCAAGAAGGCAATGGGGAGACATATATAAAACCCTAAAAGAAAAAATTGCCACCCAAGAATACTCTACCCACCAAAGCTATCAAATATGGTGGTGTAATCAAAATATTCCAGGATAAACAGAAGCTACGGGATTTTGTCACAGTCAACCCCGCGATGAAAAAACATCCTATGGACTAAGAACCAATAAGAACAGACAACAACCTGAGACTGACGTATGTGGCAGCATCATCCAGAACTCAAACATCAAATGGAAGAGTTGAGAACAGAATAAAACTATAAGAACAAATTTAGAGGATCTGGGAGGTCAGTCTATGATCAAAACAATTACAATGTGAAAGAAGATAAACACAGAGGAACAGAGATCCAGGTGGTGAGAAGATCAGGTAGATTACAGAATAAAATCTTAAATGGCGGGAAAAGTTAATGGAATATAAGGTAACCACAAATGTGGGGTTGGGTGATGGGTCTGGGGGAGGTGGAATGAAGCGATGGTAGAGCACAGGGTAAGGGCAGACACATCATAGTTCTGGTGTTGGGGAGGGCAATACAAGAAGGGGGAGGAGGTGGAATGGAAAAATAAGGTAGATAGGGGAACACTGAGACAGGTTTGCATAGGCTAAGTGGGACAGAGGTAAATAATGATGCTCAACCTTGGAATAACAGAGCTCTGTGATACAGGGATCTAGGCTTAGTTTGCAGAGGGGTAATAATACTAAGATGCTTGACTCCCTTATGAATATTGGTTTCCCTTGCCTACTATTATAAAATAGACACTTGAGTGGGATAGAAAGGAATGTCAGGAAACATGATTATACAAAACTGGTATGCCTTTCTTCAGCCTATAACTGATTGGAATACCTAAAAGGGGTTCTAGCACTTGCCCAGTAAAATACGCCTCTTGCAGAGCCTTTGAAGAGTATAGGACCTTAGGTGGAATCTTGAGTCCCATCCAGAACCTTCTGAGGTGGGACATTCCCACTAGAAAAGACAAGCAGACCAGCCTGGAACAGCTAGAGTGATAGAAGATACATCTTCAAAGAAAGATCATCAATGCAAGCAAGCAAGTTCCTGAAACTCAAAGGGAACACATGAGCAGGCATGTAAGCTTGCTGGCAACCATATTGGTCTAATGGTGAGTGGAAGAGAGGGAAAGGCAGCAATGAAGAAATAGGCTGAGTTCAACCACGGTCCATTGACTCCCGCTGACCTGAAGTTGACAGAGATAAGAGGAAGGGCTTGTTGGTCCAAAGTGTGGTGAGACCTGGAGACACCTGAACCCATGGACAAGGACATAGCCACAGAGGTCTAGAGCTGAGAGTGAAGCATCTTGCTGATATGAAGTGAGGGGAGATGCACAAGAACCCCCAAACTTGCAGATAGTACCCAGTTGACCTAGCCTCAATGGCTTGATAATCTGACCTCAACTAAAGGAAGATTAAAAACAAACAACAAAATTTTTTTAATAGAGCCAACAATGGTAAATTGCTTCAATTTGATAAACCTGACCTATACACATGGAGGTAGTAACTCTAAATACCAACAGAGAGGGAAGGACTCTTCACATCAAGCATCAATGCTATTCCCCTCTGTACACAGGGTAGACAGGGATGGGCAACTTAGACACTGGCTACCTAAAATGAGGGGGCGATAAAGGCACAAATTGACTGGCTTACAAGGTTGTAAGAGGGAGTTTCGTTTAAGAGTGTGTGAGGGAAGGAAGAGTCCCCATTGAATAGTTTTAATCTTGTCTAAATGGGTCTGGTGAAGAAAAGAGATGGGGATAAGATTCATATGATTCAATAGTGAATAATGCTTATCATGACTAATTGCAACTGTCACAATTGTAAAGGTAGAAGTTTTATAACAAAAATGGGGGAGCAGTTATTCTTACAGTCCAAAAACAAAGGACCCTAGGACCATCAAGGGAGAAAAGCACAAGCAGAATGCGAGACCTTATCCAGAGAAGCAGCAACACCAGAGATGGAGGCAGAGATGGGGGTATGGGGATGGGGACCGGCTAAGGACTCTAGATTCATGAGAAGAGAGTGACTGAGAGCTGGTGGCCAGGAGGCAGACTTGCAGAATGTGCCCTTTGGTGGTGTAAATTATTATATATACCTGAATTTTTTTTTTTTTTTTTAAAGAGCTAAAGTGAACAGAGAGAAATACTGTTAATTGATGGTAAATTGAGGGGATTATAATCATTGTGATGAAAAAAGTTGTATGATTTGTTGAATATAAAAATGATCTGCCCTGTAAACTTTCCCTCAATCCACAATAAAAACTTAAAGAAAAAGAAAACTAGCCCCTACATAGGACCAGAGATAATGCCAAAATATCGGAACTGTAATTTAGACATTCTAATGTCCAATTCTGAAGATCTGATGTGGTGCTGTAGGATAAGCAGTGGACTACTAACCAAAATGCTGTCGATTCAAACCTTCCAGCTGCTTCTCAGAAACTGTATACAGAGTTGCTATGAGTGGGAATGGATGCCACAGCAATTAACAACAACAACAATGTCCAATTTCACTAATACCACCATCAAAGTGGTGGGGAGGCGCAGTGTACAAATTTCATTCTTTAAGTAGAATTCCAGATTTTTACAGCTGAATGCTATATATAAAGTAACATTCTTTATTTTGTGAATACCTATTTGTGAAGTTTTCTTTCCTCTATCTTGACCATCCAAGCAAAGAATTGTATAGCACACGGATTTAGTTATGTACTTATAAAATCTATGTCATCCTGCAGAACATTTTTCTTTTGTATCTCTTTGTACTGAACCTTTTGTAACAGAATAGTAATGATTCAATAAAAATGTCTTAAGAGAAAAAGGGGTATGAGTCCATATGAAACAAGACGGAACAGGAATAAAAACAAATTTCCTTAGATTAAAATTATATCACTAAAAATGTTTTCAATTGGCAGCATGTAGAGTACCTGCCTTTTGGTTTTGATGTCTTCAGAATCACTCTTACAAGCTCGGGGACATCAAAGTAAGAGGCATAATGCAAAGCATTCATGTTTGTCCAGCGGCTGCGCAAACTAGCATCTGCTCCCAGATCCATAAGTTGAGTTGCAAATTTTACAGCTGTCTCAACATCACCTAAAAAACATTTGTTAAATCATTTTTCTTTTAATCATCTATTTTAAATTCTAATGGATGACTCTCTACTATCTCATTTTAAAAGTCACAGTAGATGACAAACTGAATGTACACCTCAAAAGTTTCACTTTCAGAAATTGGTTCTAAAATAATTATACTCAGGGATGTGGACAAACACTTTGCTGTAAAGGTTTTGTTATAAAATAGCTTAATGTAAAATTCTTCAAGTACTGTTGATTATGACCAAAATTATGAAAACAACCTAAAAACACAAGGAAAGATCAGTTAAATTGATACATCCCTACAATGGAATCCTGGTGTGGTGCTGTGGGTTAATGCACTGGACTTCAAAGTGGGTTTGAACTGCAAGGTCAGAAGTTCAAGCTCACCAGTCACTCCTTACAACCCTATACAGGGTGTCTCTATGGGTCAGAACCATTTCAAAGTCACTTCACAATAACAACAACAACATACTGGAATCCTATGGAGCCATTATGTTGGAAGAAGTGCAGCCAGAGTGCTCCTTGGAGGCCAGGATGGCCAAACTTCATCTCTCATACTTCAGACTTTGTCAGGAGGGACCAGTCGCTGGAGAAGGATATCATGTTTGGTAGATTGGAGGGTCAGAGAAAAAGAGGAAGACCCCCAGTGAGATGAACTGGCAAAGTGGCAGCATCAACGGGCTCAAGCATGGCAACAATTATGAGGTTGGCCGAGGACTGGGCAGTATTTCGTTCTGTTGTGCATAAAGTCGCTGTGAGTTGGTACCGACTCGATGGCACCTAACAACAACAACAACATGAAGCCATTACAATGTATCAGAAGGCTTCAACAAGTTCATTTGAAAATGGAACTGAAAGACAATGGAATTTTTCTACAAACTTTTTGAAGTGCACTTGTGTTAGACCAATGTTATTCAACATACCACTCGAGTATTCAGGCTGCAATGTTTGTACTTTAAAAAAGAAAAAAAAAAAATCTCCTATGTAATATTTCTTCTAATATTCAGGAGGCTTCACAAGAATCATATAAAAATGAAACTGAAAGATAATGGCATTTTCACACAAATTTCTTGAAACCTCCTTATACTCAAATGTAATATTTTGCATGTCAGGTTTTTTTGGTTTTGCTTGTTACTATTATTTTTTAACAAAAACTAGCATCTGTGATGGAACGGAGGGAAAAGTCCTTTTGTACCAATATTTTGAGAAGGACTTGTATCAGATGATCAAAGCATGAAGAAATGTTCACAACATGCAGTTAAGAGAGACAGGTTCATAAAATGAAATAGCACAAGAGGATCTCAATTTTGGGAATGTGCACATGTGTTGTGCATGCAGGAACAGACAAGACTTGGGCCTACTAAGGAATGGGTTACTTGGAAACTGACCTGGGACAATCCTTGTTAACCCTTAGGAAGGTTCAATGGCAGGGGTGGGGAACGTTCTACCTGCGGGCCATATAAAGCTCGTGAAATCATCTGATCTGGCCCTGCCTAGGTAAACGTAAGTTTCAGCCATCACAGTAAGGATGAGTTCATTTAATATTTGCTTAAATATATCAGACTATCTTTTAAGCTGATAATTTTGTATGGCCCATGAATGATGAGATAAATTTTGGTAGAATAAAGGTTCCCCAACCCTGTTCTAAGGTGTACCAGTTGCTCTAACCTAAGAAGCAAATAGACATATAGCCTGTTCATGAAAAGGTGGACATGCCAAGAAGGTATAAAGACAATTTTGAGGAGGACTTCACTAAATCCTCATCTATTCACACAATATTACCAGCAACTGGTGCTCTTCTAGAAGCTTGAAGGACAGGATTTATGCCCTCTGATGGGCATAAATACAGAGGACATGGGTACACATACAGATTTTCCATGACATTAATAGAATTAGCAAGTACTTACCAATACCATGAGCTCCAGATTTGCAGGTATAATGTAAAAGAGTCATATCTGTCAAACCATCTCTGTCATTCACATTGCAACCTCTCTTAAGAATCTGAGGAAACCAAGGAAAGCATGATTAACAAACAGTGTGACTAATGAAGGACAAAATGACTCCACACATCCCAGTTCTTTCTCAGCAAAATGTACAGGTAGAATTGGATGCTCTGCAACCAACAACAATAATAATACTGGAGAAAATCCTTAAAGAGTACTTGGAGATAATATGGCATTCCAAATCTGTCCTTTAACCCTCTCAAGAATAAGCAAATTTTCTTTGTAACTAGTGTTAATGGTACAATGAAGTGAATTACTTAATATGGCCCTTTCATTCAGGCACAGTTTTGTAACTCCCCCCACATAATGATTGGGAGGGACTATGCAAATAAGGTTCTGTGACCCACCAAGCTAAGGTGATCAGACATCTGCAAATACAGCACATGGCACCCTTGTGGAAGTGGGACCCTGCTAATGAGGCATATGAAACCCTAATGATGGACTGGGTCAATTTTGTCATCCTGCTAGGCTTAAAATGAGCCAATCCAGAAGTGGGAAGACAGGAGCTCACTCCACCAAGAAGACATAAGGAATGTATCCTTTGGAATCAGAGTCCCTACACTGAGAACCTCCCAGACTCAGGGCACAGAGAGAGCACGTGATAACACCAGAGATAGCACAAGGCAGCAATAATCAATGGCAGAGAAACAGTGAACCAACACAAGATGGTGCAGTGGGTTTTCTAGGCCAAGGCACAAAGTATCTACAGTAAGCAGGCTTACTGGCAGAATGAAGTGCCCTCAGGCACTTACTTGGTAGAGCTAAAGAGCTTTGTAACACTTCCTAGAACAGGACAGAGGACAGTCCAAGGGCAAAGGGGCTGATAGAGGACTATCTGCTCGCACAGTTGAGAAGAGGCTGTTCTGATCAAAATACAGTATCCTGAGTTGTTCCTGACCCTGAATTATAACCTAATAAACCCAATAATTGTGAGTATAGTCTGAGTTTTATGTGGTCAATGCAACAAATTATCAAACCCAACAGAGAAGTAAAAAGTATCATGGAAGAAATGGCTGGTGACAGAGGTGGTAAAAAGGTTGGAGAGAAGAGGTATGTCTGACCTCCACTTCACAGCAATCAGCCTGGGCTCCTGCTCATGATGACTGTCTCGCCCCCTAGTGATGTGGACAAGGAGGTCAGGTGGTTCCCCCCACACTATTTTGTGCAAATGGTTTTTGAAAAAACTAACACTTCCTATAAAACATGCTAGAGCAAGAACTCTTATTTTTTCATCCTTCCTCCAAAAAAAAAAAAAAAAAAATTCTAAATTATATTTAAACCTACATCTTCGCCAAATTACTTAAATGCATAGACAGAAAAGGATGGTAATCAAATCCCTTAATGCAAAGCATCAAAAATTTTTTGCAAAATTGTTTTCTACAAAGAAAAGACTTAAGATAAATGCCTCCACTGCTTCCACCAAGGGTCTGCAATGGCCAAACACTGGCCAAGAAAACCTTGGGACTACAAAAAGCAAAGGCCACAATCCTAAAAGGGTCTGGCTTTCAATCACCATCCTTCCATTCAGATGGGGAAAAACAATTCAATACCATTAACAATCCTAAGAAGCCCTGGTATGGAACTGCAGAAGTAGCACAGGACTGCTAGCCACAAGGTCCGTGGTTCAAACCTACCAGCTGTTCCTCAAAACCCTGTAGAGGGTCACGATGACACTGAAGCAACTGGGTGGCACTTAACAACAATCCTAATCATGCACATCTACAAATGTCAGAGTCCCTTACCTCATTTCCAATAATGTCAATGTTCTGCTGGACCTGAGGAACCCACTGTCTTAAAATGGCAAATAATTCTGATACTGAAGTTTTGGGATCAAACAGAATTTCCTGGCATGATGTATCATTAGGATCAAAGAAAGAAAATTCTGAAATGAAAAGGTATAATATAAATTTATTGAGAGCTTCAATTAAGTATATGGAAATTAAAAAACAGTAAAATAAATACTCAAATGATAAAAAAATATTTTCAGATTTTAGAAAAAGCAAATTTTCCTTAAGCAAATTTCAAGACCAAAGTTAAGACAGCCAAAAAATATGAGAATGAGCTTTCCAGGTATCATACCACACTTTATTTTAGGTAAAACAAACGTGAATGAGTGTACAAATTCAAATTCTGAACTTCCCAAGTGCTATTTCTAGGGTACAGAAAGCTTATCAAATTGCACTGACACTTTTGCCTCTCAAAACATATATACAACATGAACAATAGATTCATGTCTATTATTAAAAATACTTGAAAAGAAACATATTTGTCTAGTATGTGAACAGTGCACAAGAACACCTTATAATTTTAATTTTCTGTAATAAACCTTTTTATTCCTTTTTGAAATAGAAAGATTATATAGTTTATAAAAAGCATTCAAGTTTCATATAATTTTTATACATACACCACATTTTTATTCTTCAAATGTATTATTTTTTTCCCATTGAGGAAAGATGCAGAGAACCGTTATTCCATTCAATCTCGAATATCTGGCAACGAAGAATGAAAAACCCCTTCGGACAGAGTGTGACTGAGTTATTCTGGAATCTGTACTAGTAAAACCATGGGATAGCAGACAAAGTAGAACATGTGACCCAAATATTTCTTAAAACTTAAGATTCAGATTAAAGTTAGATATTTCCTGTGGATTAAGAATAAAAAAGAATGGCTCATGAAGGAAATAAAGTTTTATGATGATGTTGTTGTTGTTAAGTGTCACTGAGTTGGTTCTAACTCAAAGCAACCCTGTGTAGGGTTTCCTAGAAGCAGCTGGTAGTTTTGAACCATCAACCCTGTGGTTAACAGTCTAGGGCTTATACTATAGTGCCACATCAGGGCATATAAAATTTTTTAAGAGAAGAAGATAATCAGACTCTATGTCCTAAGCAATCTAAAACTGGTTGTCATTGTTATTGCCATAAGGTTGGTTCAAACTCATAAGAAACCCTGTACAGTGTTTCCGAGGAGGTGCTAGTGGGTTTGATTCACTCATCTTCCCAGTGCTTATCCTACAGCACCACACCAGGAATTCCTAAAACCAGTGGGGAATTTTCAAGAGAAGAAGTACGGAAGGAAGGGAAGCACTAGAGAACTGACCACAGTAGTTGAGCATTTATAGTCTGCCAAGCACTTTAGCAAATTCTCACAAACACCTTACCTTGCAAGCATGACAAACAGTATCTGGCAGATGAAGAAACCGAAGCCCAAACTAAATACCAAGGAGCTCTGGTAACGTAGTGGTTACGAATCGGGCTGCAAACCGTAAGGTCAGCAGTTCGAAACTACCAGCTGTTCCGCGGGAGAAAGATGAGGCTTTCTGCTCCCGTAAAGATTTACAGCCTCAGAAACCCTGTTCAGGGTTGCTATGGGTCAGAACCAACTCGACGGCACTTTAACAACAGAGCACCTTAGCAAATTCTCACAAACACCTTACCATGCAAGCATGACAAGTAGTATCTGGCAGATAAAGAAACCGAAGCCCAGACTAAATAGTGTGTTCAAAGTCATGCAGTTAGGAAAAGGCAAATTTGGGACTGAAAAACAGGTCTGTCTCTAAAGTCTATCTTCTTTCCTCTACTATGCTGCCTTGCTGAAGAAAAACATCACTGACTTCAGAACCAGTGCATAATGGGATGCATGTTGGTTTTATTTTCTTCTTGGCATTTTTACGTATTATCCAGAATTGTATTGCACATAAAATCACACAACAGTTTGCCATCAAGGTGATTCCAACTCATGGTAACCCCATGTGTGTCAGAGTAGAACTAAACTCAATAAGGCTTTCCAACGGCTGATCGTTTCAGAAGTTCATCACTAAGCCTTTCTTCCAAAGTGTCTCAGGGTGGACTCAAACCACCAACATTTCAGTTAGTAACTGAGTTCACTAACTGTACTACCCAGGGGATCCTATACACGTAGTTCTTACTCTTACAATCAGGATAACTAGAAGATGACAGGAGAGGCTTAAACCCAGAGACATGAAAAAACACAGCAGCAGTCCATTTGAAGAGAATCAGAAAGACTAAAGCTAAATTAAGATATTATCTAAAATCTTACACTATGAAATGCAATGGTCCTTTAACTGCATTCAGAAAAGAAAACCTGAAGGAAAAAAAATAAGACATCCAGTTTGGAGAAACATAGTTGCATAGTTTCTTGAAGACAGATTGGGATGTGGTTCTTACAAACAGCAGTTAACTGAATTTTTAGTTGTTGCTGTATAATTCATTCACTAAATATTTATGCATATAAACTTTCACTCTTGTAAATTTTATAATACACACTCTTTTGAGGTAACTACCTTAGGAGTCAACATTGAACTGAACACCTAAGCTAGTTTTAACTGATTTGTTTCTTGATTTTAATCACATTGGTGAGTGTCATACTCAATGACTTCTCATTACACATCAACAAAATACCAAGGCTTACAAGAACTACAGAATCTGGGCCCTGCCTTCCTCTCCAACTTCACCGCCTGCTACTCACCCCTCAGTCATGTTGCTAATCATCCACATGGATTTCCATTGATTCTTAGCACACACAACAGTTTTCCCAACTTGGTGTCTTTTTCTCTGGATGGCTGTGTCACCTATACTGGCCACTTGCCTGCATTATTCTTTATAATAGCACTACAGTTTCTTTCTGTACAGCACTCATTATAACCTAGAATATTTTAATCTTACTCATTTGTTCAATTGTCTGTCTTTCCTAAGAGAATGTCTTCTAGTCACTAGGGTATCCTCAACATCCAGGGCCAAACACCTACTACTTAACAGGCCCTCAATAAAAACTTGCTCAGTAAATACAATTCTATATGCTACTTCTTAATAGGCTAATGACAAACTACAACGTACTCAGAAGCAGCAACTGGGGTGGGAAGGGTCTAGAAATCCTGACAATGAGGGACCAGTGAAGAATTAGGAACGCATAGTCGAAGAACACACAGACTCACTACAAGTACTGAAATTATCTTCAAATATTTGAAGGGCTTCATATTTCAAAGAAGCATTTGCTCCATGTATTAGACTAGTACCAAGATGGCCAAAGTTTCAGGGACACTTTTTAAATCTATATGCAAATATATTTATTTTAGCAACTAGAACTTTTAAACAAATAAATGTACTACTTCATTAGTTTCTCACTATTGAAAAACATCTAGGAGGCTGAATGGTCATCTATCAGAAATCCTGAAAACAGTATTTCTATACTAGGAGGTGAGGAGGAAATTCTATAAGAATTCTAAAAAGAAGCTATATAATTTTCAAAATACAGGTAATGTTTAATTTCTATTATACAAGGGGTTTAAAAGGAGCTCTGGTAGCGTAGTGGTTACAAATTGGGCTGCGAACCACAAGGTCAGCAGTTCTAAACTACCAGTTGTTCCGCAGAAGAAAGATGAGTCTTTCTGCTCCTGTAAGATTTACAGCCTTGGAAACCCCGTATAAGGGTCGCTATGAGTCGGAACGGATGCCACGACACATGACAACAACAACAACAAGGGGTTATTATCCATGATCACATCTCATTTGACGTATTTATTAAATAAAACCTTAACTGATGAATTAATATTAATAAATGACTACTTTAGCCTTAAATACATAAAAATAAAACAAGATTGCTACTCCATCCCAGGATTCTTCGTACAGTACTGTAGGATCAGCACTGGACAGCAAACCACAAGGTCAGCAGTTCAAACCCACCAGCTGCTCTTTGGAAACTCCTTACAGGGTTGCTATGAATCAGAACTGACTCACTTGATGGCACTTGACAACAAATTAACCTCAAGTTCAAACCCACCAGCCACTCCCCGGAAAGCCTATACAAGGTCGCTATGAGTCAGAACCAACACAACAGCACTTAATGGTAACAACAACAATAAAACATGGTCCTAGGGAAGTAAGTCTAAATAGATGTAAACTAGAACATTCCACAGTTATATTTTACAGAGAGATTTCAAGGAGAAACTATGACCCAATCTCACCCCACACTCTAGAGGAAAGTCTCTTATCCATCTCTGCTTAACTACATGATTTCTTTAGCAAGTCAGTAATTTAACCACAATAAATATACCAATAGCAGAATACTAGATGTCTAATCACCATTGCATTCTAAAAATAAAATCCCTTAAACCCACCATGTGCTTAAAATGAATATTTTCACATAATAAAACTGCTGACAACAGAAATGAAGTGTTTCGCTTAAGAGGCAGAAAAAGCAAGTAAGCCACTGCAGTTTTTTAAAAGAAAAACTAGCAATTTTATGAAAGCCATAGCCAATGGTTTTAGGAGAAATTATGAGTGCAAAAAGCAGCTAAGACAGAAAGAAATCAAGCTATGAGTTTACAGAAAATAAGCCCAGCTACTTAACCTACCGCAGTCTGAAGGCATTGGTGCTGCAGAAATGGAAAAGATCACTGGTGTATCTGAACCTGGAAACAAAAATGGGTATCTTCCAATCAAAGGATTTCCTTCTAATGAAATATCTGGAAGGTCCTCTATGGTCATCTTCTAGAAAGCCACCTTTAATAATGAAGAAGAAAAACAAATCTTTTATATTTATTTTTTATTGATTCAATCACAATAACCCATATTCTTTTAATTTTTATTCTAACCTACTGAAATTTCAACTTCAACCTAAGGGGGGAAAACTGACTTTAGGCAAACTGTTTTGTGTGTGTGTTCTCAGTATATTTCCAAATAATAGGGAAACCATTTTTCAAATGCTGGGGAAATCTAAATGAGTGGAATTCCTTTAGTTACATTAACAAACATGAATATGCTATCCCTTGCACATCAGTAAAGATTTCTCTTGAGGCTGACACAGGTTGTATCACCTGCCGGACAGTAGCTCATGCCATGTGCTCCTCTCCTGAAAATAATCTAGTTTAGAATGCTCCATTATTTTCTGGTACCCCAGACACCTACTTAAAATTAATCATATCACTCCTACAGATCTAAGAGCTTACCGACCCTGTTCTATTCCTTAATTAACAATGTACAATGTATAATGTAGAATGTACAAGGATGTGTTTATTCATCCTAGCAGAAGATACTTGTAGGAGGTCATGTTTTTTATACTGCAATCACTTATATTATCTCTTTTTCCCAGAAAACATGACAGAACAGGATTAATTTGCTCTAAATTAAATGTATGCTACACTATCGCTTACATCTCAGAAATGGCATAGAAAGCAGATAAAATCCTAAGTAGAAATGAACTATGAAGTTATAAACCTTCTGGTTTCTACTGCATCAGATCTTTAAAGTCTGAAATATTATGGCCCCAGTATCTGTTTCCAAATTCAAGCAGAAAATTATTTTCAGATTTTACTCTCAAGCAAATTTATTCTAAGTTCTTGTGTTTTCTGGGAAAAAGGATTAGAAGTGATTAGAGTTAAAACACATGATCTCCTATACTGTTAGAATAAAACAAATACATCCTTGTACATTGTTAATTAAGGCGCTCTAGTCCTGGTGTGGCGCTGTGGCCTAATGCGCTGGGCTGCAAAGTCGGTTTCAACAGCAAGGTTGGCAGTTCAAGCTCAACAGAAACTCCTTGGAAACCCTACACAGGGTCGCAATGGGTCGGAACTGACTCGACAGCACTTAACAACAAATCCTGGTATGGCAGTGCAGGATAATGCACTGGACCACAAGGTCAGTTTGAGCTGTACAGTCAAACCCACCAGTCATTCCTTGGAAATGGTAACAAGGTCACTATGAGTCAGAACTGACTAGACTAGACAGCACTTAACAATAACAAGTGGCATAGCATATAGGAGTCCTGGTATGGCACTATAGGATTAGCACTGGACCACAAAATCCATTTGAACCGCAAGGGTGGAAACCCTATACAGGGTCACTATGAGTCAGAACCAAGGCAACATCACTTAACAACAACAGCAACAGCAGTGGCCTAGTGAATTACGAGTTGGGCTACTAACTGAAAGGTAAACAGTTCCAATCCACCAGCAGCTCCGTACAAGATGAGGCTGTCTGCTCCGGGAGAAATTTACAGCCTTGGAAACACTATACAAGGTCACCATGAGTTAGAACTGACTCAATGGCATAGAACCACCACCACATTGTTAATTTTAAGGAGTGGAACAATGTAGTAAAAACGATTTTTAGATTATTTCAGTACAAAAAGGAGAATACGAAAAATAGTTACCTGATCACTAACTCTAGTAATAAACTGTGCCTCTCTGAGCTAACTGATTTCTTTTCTCGGCACTAGCAGGAAGAGAGTAAACTGCCTTCTTTCTCTCATAAGGTCTATGTTTATAAGAAGTGGGTATGCTTGTACTGTTGTTAGGTGTCATCTAGTCAGTTCAACTCATAGGCACCCTGTACAGAGTTTCTGAGGCTGCAAATCTTTATGGAAGCAGAAAGCCTTGTCTTTCTCCCATGGAAAGGCTGGTTGGCTCCTACTGCAGACCGTGTGGCTAGCAGTCCACTGTTTATCCTATAGAACCATCAGAGCTCCCTATAAAGAGCTATTAAATAACCTACTCCCGTTTTATTATGTTAGACATCTGTAATCTTTCTTAGATGGTAAAATTACTTGCCACCCAATACTTTGAATCCTTTTGACATCTCTGCAGCTGTCAGGGAGTCCTGGTGTAGCACTGTGGGATAAAGCACTGGACTGCAAGGTCACTTTGAAGCACAACATCAGTGGTTCAAACTCAGCAGTCACTCCTTGGAAATCCTATACAGGGCCACTATGAGAAGGAACTAACCCGATGGCACTTAACAACAGCAGCTGTCGTAGACATCTTCTTCAAATTCTCTAAATTCCAAGAAGTAGCCCACATCTCAAAGTCAGCCCTTCTTTAACACTACAGCTTCTCCCTGCGTCAGGATTTCTTCTTGCTGGAGCTCTGCTTGCTGGTGGTAAATTTTGGCAAAACATTCTACATAGGGTTCCTTTAAAGTCAAGGAATAGAAATAAAATGTCATGTCTACTAAGGAACCACTGTGTACAAAGCACTATTCTAGATGTTTCAAAGATTACAATACTGAATAGCAGGTAAGTCCATACTTATTAGTTTACAATCTAAGAAAAATAAAAGAATACTAGTATCTGCAGAATAAGAAACAGAATGGGATGTTTGAAAACATCAACAAGCACCATTTGCTATACGACCTTCTGAGAACAAGAAATGGCTCAGTGAAGACACCCTGAGACGGGTCTTGCAACCTGGGTAGGCAGAAATTGGAAAGAGGAGTACTCTGAAAGACTAGCAGGCTGAAATTCAGGGTCCTCTTTGGGTAACAAAAAGAGGTAAAAGATAGGATAGTTCCTCAGGGCTACACTGAGGAGTACTTCAAATACCACACCAAAGACCAAACCGTTTAATTCCATGATCACTAGAAAACTACTGATTTTTACAAAGCAGAGTGGCATGATGTGAGCTGTGTTTCTGGAAGTTTAATCTGACTACAATCACACTTTGGGACTCAGTAATGCTGTTCTATGTAGTTCTGGTATGGCACTGTGGGTTAATGCACTGTACTGCAAGATAGACTTGAACTGCCAGGTCAGTGGTTCAAGCTCACCAGCTGCTCCTCAGAAACCCTATACAGGGTCACTATGAGTCGAAACTGACTCGAAGACACCAAACAACACTGATGTTTATACTCTTAATTATTCAGGAAAGTGAGTAGTTATCTTTCTGAGTCGGTTAAGAGAATCCATTAAATGACTTACCCTTAAAAAATAACAGGTTATCCTATCTTTTACCTCCTGACAAACTACAAAGAACTAGAACTTACACAACTATTACTCTATCACTTCCTACAATTGTGTCTTATGCATTTTAAATAACTATTTGAATCCTAGACTCAAGGTAGAAAGAGAATACATTTAACAAGACCTAGTTAATGTCACTGTTCACATGTTAGAAACCTTAAGCCCAAAGAAGCCACAATATAACCTGACCAGTTTACCTGAAATTTCAACTCCAGCTTTCTTTGTATGTTTTGCATTTTCTGTAATCCTATTTCCTTTGCTTAATGAAAGTCCCAACATTCGATCTTTTGTCCCACCAAAGAAAAGCATACACACCTCCACAGACTTTTGTATAATCACAGACCTCATTCCATAAAGGCAGTTTCTAGGTGTGAGGACTTAGGACATATCTTGGTCAAAGTTAGAGATGTACAAATCTAGATTAAGTACAATCTTTCATTTCAGATTCTACCATGTTTAACCAGTAATAACTGATTATATAAAGCCCACAATAAAAAAAAAAAAAAAATCAACCCTGAGTAAAACTATACAAGATGTCTCTATACTTTAAACAGCTATGAACCAGGTTCCCCAAACTTCAATTTAGATAGGAATTCCATTCTACCCCATCACTCCAAATTAGCTCTAAGTAAAGGCATTTTTCTAACATGGCTCTAATATGACGAATCGTTCAGGGATTCCTGGCCCACATCCTAACACAGATGGTGAGCAGAGATGTACTGTTCTTCCAAGCAGTTCTGGGCTGTCAAGGTCCTGCTATGGAGCCTCATTACAACCAAAAGACACCCTCAGATTAATCTGAGATATGGTTCAAAAACAGCATCCTTAAACTGCTCATCTACCAAGAGTTCTAGCTGTATGTGAGACCTGGTGCTGCAATGCTTAAGGGCTCCATTAGTCTTTTGAGCCAATCAGCCTCTCTGCAGGGGGAAAGCCCAGGTGATCTGCTCCTTTAATGATTGTTGTTACTGTTGGTAAGTATCCTCAAGTTGGTTCCAACTCATAGTGACCCTGTAGAAGGTTTCCAAGGAGTAGCTGGTGCGTTTGAACCACAGACCTTACAGTTCAAACAGACTTTGAGGTCTAGTATCCTACCAAAGAGCTCTGGTAGCGTAGTGGTTGCGAGTCGGGCTGCCAACCTCAAGGTCAGCAGTTCGAAACTACCAGTGGTTCCACGGGAGAAAGATGAGGCGTTCTGCTCCCGAAAAGATTTATAGCCTCGGAAACCCTGTGCAGGGTCATTATGAGTCGGAGCCAACTCCACGGTACTTAACAACAACAACAACAATCCTACTGCACCATACCAGGACTCCCCCTTAATGATTGTTGCTGTTGTTATTGTCATTGAATCAGTTCTGACACATAGCGACCCTGTATAGGGTTTCCAAGAAGCAGCTAGTGAGCTTGAACCGCTGACTTTGTGGTTCAAACCAATCTTGCAGTTCAGTGCATTAATCCGCAGCACCACAGCAGGACTCCCCCATAGTGATTACAGTCTAGGAACCTCTCTAGGGCAGTTCTACTCTATCCTATAAAGTCGCTCAGTCAGAAGCAGCCCGATGGCACACAACAACAATACAGCCGTGTTTACATGAGCTGGAATCATGAAGTCCCTTCCTTCAATTTCATATAGTACTTTCACAAGAATCTTTCTTTTTCCTGAGTTTCGGGGGGGTGGGGGTGGGGCGGGGAGTAATCTAACCAGTATAGGTGTTTAATCATTTACTATCTACGTAAAAACTGTTTAATC